TGGAGAATGTTGTCTAGGGTGGTGTCTGTGGTGGGTGGGGGTATGTCGTGAATGTAGCTTGTAATGGGAGGTGTATGTTGTATGTCGTTTAGCTGTTGTGCCTGTAGAAGTTTATGGAGGTAGGTGAGGCATGGAGCTCTTAAGGGATTTAATTTGAATTTCTTAAGTGTTGATTTCTTTATTTTGCTGTATTTATGTGTGACGAGTTTAAATAGTGGGTTATGTTGGGCCCCAGCCCAGTAGGTGAGTGTTGTTTGGTTGATTCTTTGTGTGAATGAAGTGGTGCCTGAGAGTAGAAGTAATGTGTTTAGGGTGGTACCAGTCCTCGTGCCTAGGGCTAATTTTAGGGCTTTATATTGGATGGAGGTTATTTTTTGGAGGTTACAGGAGGAGAGGGAGTGGAGAATCGGGGCGGCGTAGTCCAGTTTAGGCAGTATAAGCGTTTTCTATATGTTGATAAGTGTGTGTTTGTAGGCACCCCAGTTTGTGCCGCTGATGGCTCTCATTAAGTTGAGATCTTTTTGACAGGAATTGACCAGATTGTGAATGTGGGGTGTCCATGTCATATGTTGGTCAAATGTTATTCCTAAGAATTTTGCTTCCTTTTTTAATTCAATTTTTTGGTTATTTAGGTGCAGTTTGGGTGAAAAATTTTGCATTCGTTGTGTTTTGAAGAGTATGCCCACGTTTTTTTAACATTAATGAGGAATTTGAATATGGTTAAGCATTTTTTGGCATTTTGTAGAAACTTGTTTGACAGAAGTGGAGGAAGTCCAGAAAGAAATATCGTCGGCAAATTTGGCTTTTGAAATTTCAGGCCATTTATCTGGGAATATGTCGTTGATCATGAAATTAAAAAGTGTTGGTGATAATATGCTGCCCTGGGGGGTCCCATGTTCTAGGGGATGGGGGTCCGAAAGGGTGTTGTGAGATTTGAGGATTATCTGTCTATTATTAAGGAAAGAGTGGATGAAATTTAGAATTCTGCCGTTAATGGCATATTTTTGGAGTTTTTGTATGAGGCCGTTTTGCCAAACCATATCAAATGCTTTACTAAAGTCAATGAAAATGGCCATAGTGTATTGTTTTTGTTCATGGGCTACCTTGATGTCTTGTTCCAAATGTAAAATATGGTCTAAGGTTTGCCTGTTTGGATGAAGCCGCTCTGGTCCTCCTTAATTAGATTTTTTATATATATATAAGGTGTTTGAGCCTGTTGTTAATAATGCTTTCTAAAGTTTTACATAGATGAGAGGTGAGGGAGATAGGGCGATAAGAATCAGGCTCATTTTTAGGTTTCCCTGGTTTGAGAACTGGCACCACCTTGGCTGTTTTCCATGTGTTTGGGATAGTACCTGAGGTCCAGATAATTTGTTAATTTGTTGAGTATAGTGAATGTAATGGTATCTGGACCCGGGGCTGAGGCTGTCTGTTTGTTTCTGAGTGCAGATTGGAGTTTGTGTATATTTATTATTTTGTTTATAGGTAGATCTGTGTGTGGTGGTTGTGGGGTGTATGGGGGCTGCTTTTTCATGGTGTTTTGAAAAGAAGGTGGGTAGTTGGTGGAGCTACTGACGGCCGAGAGGTGGGCAGCAAATGCATTAGCTCTGTCTTTGTTTGTGGCTAGGTCCGGAAGGTTTGGATAAATAGTTTTTTTGGAAACGCCCTTAATGGCATTAAATTTTTTCCACATAGTTCTAGAGTTTCGATTTGTTAGCTTAAAGGTCACATGCAACCAAAAAATCAAACATAATTAAAACACAATTATCACTTATTCATGACATATAATATATATTGCTGGTTATGAAAAAACATATAAACAAAATTATAAGCGTACAATCGCAAATCAAAAGTGCAATATTGCGTACTTTGGTTTACTTCCCAAGAAACGAAGCAGCCGGGATACCGAACCCAGTCAGAGCGGGTGGGTGTGCACTCAAGTGTAACTGGCTGGTTCATTTGCAGATGCCCTCACGGCTCATTGTGTGTGTATATATAGAGATGTTGGGTTTTGTAAATACATGCTCATTTTTTTGTGTATAACATTTTGCAATCAACAGACATCATAACATGTCATGTGTTCAAGTATCACACCTGCCTGTCTGTGTAATTACATACTGTGACAGAGACCGAACTCGGGCCATAAATCAATGGGTTTTGTTTATGGTGTATAGCCTGATTGGTGTTAAGTTCGAATTGCATGGGGTCAGTGATCGCAGTTGTGTATTTAATATTAACTCTTCAAACTCACTTATACAGTACTCTCCCTAGTGTACTGTGATGTCACTTGCATTGTGACGTCATTACTCAGTTATGACGTCATAGTGACGACGTCATAATCCTAACTGCCAGTTCACCTGATGAAGGGACCTGGAATGGTCTCGAAACGTTGTGAGAGAAATTAAAAAAGAAGTTTTATCCATAAAAATATCTTGGAGTTTATTTACTGTCATATAAAAAGCTCGCGCCTGTGAGATATCAACAAAACATTAGGAAAATAGCTCACACCAAAGCCTTAACCGAGTATTCACCGGACAGCCCGCTTCCAAGTTGCCCGAACCTATTTCACTGCGCACGTGCTTTGAGCGCAGCCCAGCTGTTGAAACCAGTTTTCCCCCGAAAAGTCGGGGGGAAATTAGTGAATCGTTTGAACTCCGATTTCGCGCGTTTTTTTTCATCGCGTTATTTTTCAACTTTATAAGTTGAATTTGCATTTTTTGATGATTTGTTTCGGTAAGTCCATACCTAAAGGTATCAGAATCTGCAAAGTTGTGTTTTACGTTGCATGTGACGTATAGGGTCAAGTATGTGCTGAAACTTGAAACAACTGAAACTTCATCTCAGTTAAGCGGCTCACAGATCGAGTATTGGGGTCGCGCGCTAATCTGAAGTGCGGTAATCCGATGTTTTCATAGCAATTCGCTTTTGCGGCACTTCTAGCACAACTTTGGTTTTCGCTTTACCGGGAATAGCGAATATTGAAATTTCGCTTTCCTGGGCCGACACCGTCACGGGTATGTTTATGTTGGACGTGACAAACCAGAGTTTGATGGCACGAGAAACGACCACCGCCGTACGTTGATAACAAATACGCCACACACTGTAACCATCAGATCCCTTGGTTTACTATACGAAGAAAGAATAGGATTGTGATTACCATAGCGTTGAAGACAAATGCCATTTGTGTCTCATTTACCCAGCTTATGATACTTTAAGACCTTTACATCTACCAAAACACTGACTTGTTTGCCCAGCTTATGATACTTTAAGATCTTTACATCTACCAAACACTGTTTTGTTTGCCCAGCTTATGATACTTTAAGACCTTTACATCTACCAAAACACTGACTTGCAAATTTTAACATCTCTGTTTGCTATCAATTATTTTCCTGTACAAATACATTCTTTATTCTTTATAACTTTGCACAATTTGTAAAACTTGTACATCTTAAAAGAGAAACAATCCTTTATGTTAATCTCAGGAAATACGGAATTTTCAAGAGTCTTACAGTCCTTATGTTTTGACATATTTATTGACACAAACAAATAAGAAATTATGGCAACAATCTTATTACTCTGTTTAACTCATTGTATACGCCAACTCTAAAATTTCGAAGCGATCAGCTGTTTGGCATGGAGATTCCATCTAAGGTCAAGGTCATTTGTACAACTAGTGTAGTGTGTCACGTGACAGATTTGAAGGGGTGTACAGTGAGCCCGGTGGTGTACGCGACGCACAAATGCAGAGAATGGACGCAGATCAGTTACGTGCATCATTCGGTCCATATGATCCACCGTTACTTCCCAGGGTCCTCCCATTGCATGCAAGTCCCCTACAACAACTAATAATAAGTTGTATGTCAGGAAAATAGGAAGCAAAACGTGTTTATCAAAATCATATTTAGGCTCATAGTCTTAATGGGGCGGTGAGGTAGCCTAGTGGTTAAAGCATTCGGCCGTCACGCCCGAAGACCCAGGTTCGATTCCCCACATGGGTACAATGTGTGAAGCCCATTTCTGGTGTCCCCCGCCGTGATATTGCTGGAATATTGCTAAAGGCGACGTAAAGCTAAACTCATTCACTTAATTAGAGAACATCCGGAGAATAACAGTGTATTACTTGTTTGTCTCCCTGTTGATACTGGTGATGAGCGTCAGGTTGGAGGAATCACATCTACACGTAATGGCCATGCTGGCAATACATCGCAAACTATCTCTCCTTACAACGGTCGCAACAACAGCTCTGTTTTATTTGTGTCTGTTTGACTGTTATTTAGATACATGTTTAAACAGTGTGCGAAATTGCCACTCGCCCGCTAGTCCGCGGCTAGTAAAAATCCAATCGGGCCAGTAAATCTCCACAGTCAGCCCGAGTGGCTAGTGAATTTTCATGGGGTCAGTTTGTAAATACATCCCTCCCTCCGACTTGTTAAGTTTTAATACACTTTTAAATCATGGTATATTATGAGTGAGTGAGTGCAGTTTTATGCCGCACTCAGCAATATTCCAACTATATGGCGGCGGTCTATATATAATCGAGTCTGGACCAGACAATCCAGTGATCAACAGCATGAGCATCTATCTGCGCAATTGGGAACCGATAACACCTGTCAACCAAGTCAGCGAGCCTGATCACCCGATCCCGTTAGTCGCCTCTTACGACAAGCATGGGTTACTGAAGATCAATATTCTAACCCGGACCTTCACGGGAATGCAGGATTATGGCCTGACAAAAATGTTCATCATATTAGCAGCTTAATGATGAAACCCCTGTCTACATTCATATTTCAGGCTATTGAATTATTTTGTGGGCTAGTAACTTTCAGGCATAGCTAGCCCGACTGGCTCGCATACTATTTGGAAACTATATTTCGCACACTGTTAACACATGAAGTTTGTCATTTCTGTAAATACCTGTACCACATTATAGTAAACATGCATACATGTAACATTATGGGGACACTGGGCTAATGAAATAACGGGAAAGAAATGGACAAGGGTTCAAATGAACATCTATTTTTAATGAGTACATGGCAGTGTTTAGGTGTTTTTTCCGTCTCTAAGCCTCATAGGTGACCCTGTAGACCATCACGCTGCCCGTGCTGACCGACACAGCCAACCGTCGGCCGTGGACAGTCTTCTGGAAGGAGATCCCCACACCATCCCGGAGACTTGACCCGTCAGGCATCACGTCGCCCATGCTCACATCAAGGCTGTTCACCCATCCGATTCCTTCGTTCTTCAGTCCGCAGAAAAATACATTTCCATTGCCATCGACAGTGACCCCTCTGAGCCGAAGTGTCGTATCAGCCACAGGTATTCTCTTTACTCGTTGGTCTGCATGTATACGGAACAAACAGTTCCGTCCCGTGTCGGACACTACCACCGAGCTGGGGGACTCGGTCGCCATGTTATAAGGGTTCTCAAACCTGTCTTTTAACGATGCAATGCAACAACAATTGTAGCCTAAAATGTCCACGGTATCTGTTGTCCCGGCCAGGATTTGTTTGACCTCAGATAGATGCGCGATGCCGAAATATCTCCTTTTGGTCGTATGCATTACTGTCGAAAACTTCACTATACCTCCCCGTAACTTGACAGTGATCGTGGCGATCTTTCTCAAAGACGGCAGCGTGACAAGGACCGTGTCTTCGTCCTTACGGCAAATTCCTTGTATCCGACCAGCGTCTTTGCCGATTTTATCGAAGTAATGATCCCCTAGAAAAGTTCCTTCTTGGCTGAAAGCTTTCAGACAGCAATTGGCCCAATCCGCGGCCAATATGACACCTGATTTCAGTACCAACACCGACCTGATGTCTGGAGGCACCTCGTCACCCTCATCAACAGCAGAGGAAAACTCTTTTAGGAGGGAAAATCTGGGTATATCAGCGTCACGTGGAACGTTGTCTTCCCCCTCCATTCCGGACACCCTGCAGTAAACAGCCGACACTCCATCGGTGTCAAACACCTCAAGGTCAACGCTCGACCCTTCATCGGGGATGTGGACGATGTTCCTGACGTCATGAGACGCACACGTCACAGAATGCGTGAACTCACAGTCCACACACATGGTCATGTCACAGTCGTGACACCTGCACGTGGCTAGCACGTGTTTCGGTCGCTGTTCGCACACCTGGCAGTGGGATGTGTTTGCTGCTGGTAAGGCAATGTTTGTCGCCATCTGAAACATCAAATCACGAGGTCGCTTACAGTGGTTGAGTGAGTCAGTTTGGTTTTACGCCGCTTTTAGCAATATTCCAGCAATATCACGGCGGGGGGACACCAGAGGTCACTTACATCTACGTCTCAGGCTGCGACATTGTCTTGACAACAGACATGCCTTTAAGAAAGTGCATTACATTTGGGACGGCGCTTTTTGTGGAAACCGCGGTGGCTGAGGGAGTAGATCAATGGCTCTGTAGTGGGGATTTGGCCTTCACTTGACTGTGTGGGTTCGAAAACCGGATGGGACCCCAAAAGCACTAGAATCTACACACTTAACAAGTGTAATCCCAAACATACAACAATCGTTACATTGTCTTGTGAAGATGCAAACCTGGATGGGTGTAGTTTATAAAGACGTTGAATATACTTTATCTAAACACATATCAATATGTATAACACACATATTTAAATACAAAGCAGCCAATGTTGGTCGATTGTTCTTACGTTTTCCTTATTTTTTACAACTTTCGAAATCAGTTCAAATTATCAAATCATAAGCGTTGAAACAAAAATGAACTTTACAAAATCCGACACTCTTGTAGAGTTGCCTTATTTGATGTTCAGATTGTACCCAGATCATGTCGAATTTGAAGTAAAACAAATCGTGCATTACTAATAAAGCCAGAGATTATATCAATGTGAACAATAGTTATTGTTATTTAATCGGCCAAATAACCAGAGTCAAGTGTTGATGATATTTCTTCCACGTAGATTATAATATCATATGCGTAAATGAAATTATATTGTATGGATGAAAGTATCATTGTGGTTATCACCTACGAAGATGTAAGTATCATCTCCGAGAACAATGTATCATCTACATGCCAACAAAAAAAAGAATCAAGAGTACTTCTTCGTGATCAGCTGCGCATGCTCAAGGCCGGAAAGGTCAACCTCGTTTCTACTTTCATTTTGCGGTAAAACCACATCGTATTAAAATGAAAGTAAATATTCTCAAATGGTTTACATTATAGTTGTAAGGAGATTCACGAGTATAATCCAAGAGGGTTGGTCTATATCTCCAAGTAAAAGACTTTCACATACGTTGTATTCACTGTACAAGTCAGTAGCCAAGCTGAGCAAGTCGGTATAACGATATACAACCCGCTGATACAGGTGCCATCTGGACTGGTTAGATGGATGTACAGGCCAGTGGTCATACATAGCAACTTTGTTATTGTAAACGACACGATTTGTATTTAAATACAGGTTGTATTACACGTTAACACTGTCATCATGGGTTTACAACCTTGACGACGACATTAGAACCTATGTTGAAACGTCGCGCATACAGAATAGAGAAGTTGTATATCCACACAAATTGTCCTCATTCCTGATCATTAGTTAATTAGAACGTGTGACAAAGGTGGGTAGACGTCAGACTGGATGCAGCCGATATTTCCCTGGCGCTTGCTGGGAGATATTTAGCTAGTAATCACACAACAGTTCAAGAGACCAACCTTTGAAAATCACAAACAGCGTCCACAAAGTAACAGTGTTAAATCGAATGTCCCTCGAAGATGGCGATAAAACCTCAGTAGGCTTCAAAGGAAGAGCCCAAAATCTAATGCGTGGTCATTTATAGAAGGGGCGTAACTGCTGTTGGAGTAAATGTCAAAGTGAAACGAGTGCCTGCGCAACGTGTGGACGCTGTTGGGATTTCCTAACTTCTATTTCCATCTCCACACAGCAAAGAAAGGCTCGCTGATTGAGCGTGCGGCGTAGGGAGTTTCCTGCAGTACATCTTGATTTGGAATAGTTAGTGAGTGAGTTTAATTTTACGCCGCACTCAGCAATATTCCAGCTATATGGCGGCGGTTTGTAAATAATCCATTCTGGACCAGACATCCCAGTGATCAACAGCGTGAGCATCGATCTGCGCAATTGGGAACCGATGACGTGTCAACCACAGGCCCCCACTGCGGGTCAGAAAATCGATAAACTAGGCCCCGGTTTAGTATCAACACCCCCTACTATATAATACATAAAGGTTCATCACAGAAATACGGTGACATGATCGAAAACCGGATAATTACGCACATGTCAATGAATATATCGTATTTTAAAGGTCTCACAAGTATCAATAGCTTTTGTCCATATCTCCGATGTATGTAGGAGGCATATACATGCGCTTTCCGAGGGGATGCATTTGATGTTTTTTATTAAATCGCCAAAGACCGAGTTGCTGTGCCGGAAGTATACAAAACTAGCTAGTCAGCGCTTGACTTCACTACCTCCGGCGATCTGATTGGCTAACACCTTACACTGAATAAATGTGTTTCTTTAAAAAATATTTGTACTCGTTTTTAAAATTATTCTTACCAAGATAAAACATCAGATAGTGAAATCTTGGATGACAGACGTTTGAGTTTCCCTCTCATTTTCGCACGTGCATTTGTTGTCATTTTATTAACCAATTTGATTGCGCTGACGGCCTAGTTTTGTATACTTCCGGCACAGCAACTCGGTCTTTGGCGATTAAGTTGAGTTTTTCACACAACATTTGATCGTGAAGTGATTATTTGCCAGGTGACTTGAGGTGGTGTAAATATTGCATTTGAAGAAAAGAAATAGGTACTGTGTTCGCCAAAGTATTGCTACTATTCGTATAACATTAGATTATTTACGATACGAAATATTCGGCTGTTATCTGGTCAATGTACTGAGCTTACGAGACCACTTGGAGAACATGCAAAGGGTCGTACATGTTTGACATTTTGACGACGTTGTCACAGAGAACTTACATTTGGGCTGAATCATTTTATGGCACATATAATGTTTACTAGTTTCAAGATCACGCTGTTTTGGTTTTATTCCCTGCGATGTTATTTAAATAAAGAGGTTTATGTCACTTGACACTATGGGATATTTCTGATGAGTGGTGGGTAATTAAAGTGTTCGTCAAGACTCAATTGCCATTGTCTTGAGATCTTGTTTACTAGGGGTCTGCGAGTGAGTGAGTGGGTGCATGGGTGGGTAGGTGAGTGAGGGGGTGAGTGAGTGAGCTGTTTCAGGCGTGTTCGCTTACTGCACTGCCCAGTGTGGATTGGATGCCTACTGAAAGTGTCGTAGCTGGCGTTTGGGCGTTAATAACCCTACAACATATACAGTTACCTACTAATTATGGCCGTTCCACATTGTCAGGGGTCCGTTGCAGGATGCTAAGTCTCGGAGTGAGGGGTCGGGCGACCTTGACTCCTAACTAACAACATTTCATTCATATACTGGCACACATACATTCACAGATAAACGCAACCCCAGGTTCTATACTCAGATAGATTTACTCTGTCTCAGTCCATATCTCTAACTACAACTTCAATACAAGATTAGGCCTCCATGTACCACGCGGGGGAACGGAGTGGCGTTGGTTAGCTTCCAACATATTGAGCACACAACCCGCACACAGAGCTCCTAGTGCCAAACATGTCTTTTTAAATGGTTCGAACCTAGCCTGACTTTGTGGTCACATGCTTCAACTCATCGTTTTGATTTTGACCCTGCACTCACGTCTTTCGTATTAGGATGAATATTGTGTCTAGTGATTGAATGAATATCGGACAGCACCAGAACCAACATATACACTATGTACAAAACAAACTGTATACATACCGGGTTCACTTTAGTAGGGTAACAGACGTTTGGATTCACCTCCACTTAAGGGCATTTAAGCATCATCTGCATTTCTTGAAGAACACACTTTTATACCTCAAAACTGTTGAAAATTGCATGTACACAAAGTCGTGTCAGAATTTTGAATTTGTGGATGCCTTCCGGTTTCAAGAGCCTTCAAAAAGTATTAACACTTTCAGCTCAACTGTTTGGAAACATCATTATTTCATTAGTTCAGAAAAGAACATTTTACTTCCTCAGAAAACACTTTTGTCTCTGTTGGACATGATGAAATAAGAACCAAACAAGTGCCTCTTCGGGCGAAAATCTTGATAAAATACATATTCAAAGAATACAAAGAGGTTTTTTTGTAAAACTTTGGCAACGTTTGTGCATTATGATAAACTAAGCTATTTCTAAAAACAAAGGAATGAAATGACAAATTTACAAAACGTGACTGACTTGTGACTGATAATAAATGCAAATCATCATACATGAAAATATACAGATCTCTAGGACAGTCTCACAGCTGACCACTTGGACACAAACCATTGTCAGACAGAAATACACAGCTGGTGAAGTCGGCAACATCACATTCAACCTACAGATAAGCAATGTTGGTCAAACATCTCACATAAACAATAGTTCCCAGTGTTACATAAGGCATACATCTATAAGGGGTACACCACACAGGCGGACTTGTGGAAGGGGATAGTGTGTAAACAGACAAACTTTTAAAGTGATCAGAAACAAACTAGGACAAACACGTTTATGTTTATAACCTCGAATACACAGTCCAGGAACTGTTCGCTATCAAACTGGAAGATACAAAGTTTTTTGGAGGCAAAAAAAATAACCTCTAGAACAATAACAGAAATTTGACTTCACGAAAATAGAAAAGAAAAATAACATCGATGAGTAGACAAAACCAACCTGCAACTGCCAAAACAATGTGGGCGTTCAAAACACCTCCCCCACGTCCTGATTTTGTCCATCACTGTCACCTCAGCATCCAGGGTTTCACAAAGTGTCAGATTTCAGAAATAAATGCTTTGAGTTTCACTCTTGATCAACTTCAGAAGAGGTAACAATGACCTATAGAGATGAGAGATGTTCTATTTTACACAAAAATATTTACAAGAAATGTACATATTAACAAATTCAACAATGTTTAAAATGTATTGTCATAAACTAACCACTGATTCATACGCATGTAACAACGTAGCAAGTGTTAAGGGTGGAACAGAATTGTTTCCAATGGTCATTTTTTGCTGCCTCGGTTAATTTCTTTGTTTTATTTCTTAGTTGTTTTGCTAAATGTAATTTCGAACGGTCCCTCTTGGATTGATTTAGGGCCTTTTTTCTTGCCTTTCTGGCTTTGATGATTTCCGTGCTCCACCAGGGGACTGCTTTTTGTGCAGGGTTGTATCGAAAAGTTGGAATGCATTTTTCTGAGATGTCAAGTATGGTATTAGTGAGGTTTGTGTTGAAAGTGTTTATGTCTGTGTTGAAAATGGCTGTGGTGTCTATTTGTTTACAAAGTGTTGTGAATTTGTTCCAATTTCCTTTTTAATGTTGAATCTTATTTCTGTGGGTGGTTGTGATGAGGTGGTAGTGGGTGTGGTGTGGGTGGGTATGTGTGATGTGATTGTGATTTTGATGGGGCAGTGGTCACTGCCCCAGGTGTCATCGTGGACCTCCCATATACAAGCTTGTGTAACTTTGGGTGTGGTGAGAGTGATGTCGATGGCTGTGGGTGAGTGTAGATGGGAGAGGGGGTAGCGGGTGGGTTGATTGTCGTTTAGTGAGTTAAGGTTGTGTGTGCTTAGCCAGTCAGTAAGGCGGGTGCCATTTGAATCAGTATAGGGTCTTGTGCCCCACAGTGGATGGTGTGCATTAAAGTCTCCGAGGATAATGGTTTGGGGACTTATAAATTTTGCCTGAATGTCCAAATCTTGGGTGGTAATTTTGAAATTTGGTCTTCTATAGACATTAATGATGGTTAAGTCTTTGTTATTCATTTTAGTTGATATTGCCAGGACTTCGAGGTTTTGTACAGGAATTTGCAATATGTTATAGTTTAGTTCCTCTGCAATGAAAATCCCCAGTCCCCCTACAGGGGGGCCGGGACAGTTAGTTGGCCGAGATCTGTCTTTACGAATAAAATTGTAGCCTGGTAATTTGAAGGCGGTTTTGGGGGATATTTTGTTTAATGCAGAGCTATGATGTAGGGTGAAATTTTGTTATGGGCAATGAGTGCCTTGAGCTCATGCCCATGAGCTCGGAGACTGTTGCAGTTCCACTGTATAAGTGCCATGATTACTGCAATTAGGGATATAGGTTTAATAAATGCCATGGCGTGGGGCATGAATTTTGAAGAATGAAGATTTGGTGCTAGAGTAGCTTAGAGGTTTGCTGTTTAGAAGGATTTTTTGAGGGCGATGAGTAGACTGGCCAAGCTTTTGTGATAGAGTTTGGATTTATGTGCAAGGGTGTATAGTTTTTTTACTGTTGGTTTTTCCATTGTTGTGGCTGCGATGATGAGTTCTACTATTTTGTTAAGGTTTTGGTTTAATTTTTGACGTGTGAGGGTTAGTGAGCAGGTGCTGGGTGTTTTTTAGGTGGGAGGGCTTGAGTTTTAATTGTGGGTATGGGGGTTGGTGGTTTGTGTTGGGAGGTGTTGGAGGGTGGGGTGGGGTTTACGGGTTTGGAGAGGGGTTGCAGTTTTGGGACGTGTTTGTTTAGGTGGGACAGTTGGGATGGGTGTGGGGAGGAGGGGTTGTTTAGGGGTGCCGGTTTGTGGCGGTTTTGGGGTGGGTATGGTGGGGGCTATGTTTGGGTGGGTGGGTGGGGCGGGTAGGTTTGGTGGTTGGTTTGGGAGGGCGTTGTTTTGTGGGTTTTTTTTGGGAGGGGTGAGTAGAGTGATGAGTTGGGGGTGGAGGAAGTGTAGGGGGAGGATGAGCTGGCTGAGAGGATGGAGTTATATGATAGTAGTTTGCGTGCTGGTTTTGGCAGGTCGGTGTTTTTGATATGTTTGTTTAGCCTGAGGATGTGTTTTTGTTTGATGGGGCATGTGTTTTGTGTAGCGGTGAGGCCGGGTGTGTTGCAGTGAATGCAGTATTTCTGTTGGCGACATTCATCGAGGGTGTGTGTGTCCGACCCGCATTTTGGGCATAACATGGGGAGCTTGCATGAATCGGAGATGTGTGAGTATGAAAAACAGTATTTGCATTGTTGTGGGTTTTTGCTTGTTAAGTGTACTTTGTAAGTAAGGGCGCCAAATGTAATGTGGGTGGGGAGTGTAGTGGTGTCAAATGTGAGGAAGGTTGTTTGTGTGTTGGGGTTGTAGGTGGTGGGTTGTCTGTTGTTGATAGTTCTGTAGTTGGTGATTTTTGGTTGGTTGGGGATGGTGTTTGCGATGCTGATGTAGTGTTTGATATCTGATTCAGTTTCTCTTGTGTCTATGTATAGAACGCCTTGGATGGATGTCTGCCAGCGTGGATACTCCCAACTTTAGAGAAACATCCAAGTTACTTAGTACTTATGAGACAAAGCAAATTTCAACTGAAAATGTTGTGCCCCAAATCATGTGTTCAGTAATAGTGTCAAATGTTTTCTGTCGCAAAATGGCGAACTTGCCAGAGAAACGTGCTTCATTGCCTTTGTTTGGGCGCTTGTTTTAGCTTATCAGAGGCAGTAACGAGGGGTGTTGTGGTTTACTTTCATAGTTAGATATCTTGAGAAACGACATGTAACATTTGAAACGATTGAATTTGTGTCTAAAGGCTCGAAATGTGCTTTTGAAACAAACGATGTCTGCATTTTAGACGCGATGGCTTCATTGAAAATAGCCCGTGTGGCTTCAACATTCACCTGTGGTTGTTGTTATTGTAACAGACATGTAGCCAAATGTTTTTTGCATCCAATCATGTACTTACATTGGAAACTTTCCCCGATTAAGAAGTGATTATTAAGATACAAATGCACGAGAAAGCACACGCGCTCCCAAGCTTGCAACTATCAGCCACAACAAGCAGGGTGTCTCCTCCGACGTCCGCGCCTCAGTAGTATCACCCGGGCTGGCTGTCGGGGAGAGGCATTCGCTCTCTGTGCTTCGTTTGTAGCTGACGTGACTTTCTACACTCAAACCTACCATTATGGCTGATGTTGCTGCTGCCCCCGCTGCTGTCAAGACTCCCAAGAAGAAGGCTGCTGCCAAATGAAGAAGGTTGCTGCACATCCTACTTATTTGGAGATGATCAAGAAAGCTATTTCATCCTTGAAGGAAAGGGGTGGTTCTTCCCGACAGGCTGTTCTGAAATACATCCTGGCCAACTACAAAGTTGGTGACAACCAGGTCGCCATCAATGCTCGCATCAAGACTGCTTTGAAAAATGGAGTCAATAACGGCGCACTGAAGCAATCAAAGGGAACTGGAGCTGCTGGGTCCTTCCGTCTTGGCGAGGTAAAGAAAGCTGAAAACCCAAGAAGGCTAAGCCAGCTGCCAAGCCAAAGAAGGCTGCCAAATCTCCCAAGAAAGTCAAGAAGCCAGCTGCTGCCAAGAAACCTAAGACAGCCGCTAAGAAGGCCGCCAAGTCACCAAAGAAGGTGAAGGCTGCAGCCAAGCCAAAGAAGGCAAAGACCCTAAGAAGGCGGCGGCCAAACCCAAGAAGGTCAAGACCCCAAAAGAAGGCAACCAAGCCAAAGAAGGCATAAGCTCTCTTTGTCTCGCCTTCGCTCCCACATTTCTGTGGTCCAAAGGCCCTTTTCAGGGCCATCCAAATACCCCAAAAAGAAAACTTGAAAACAGTGATAACAAAATAATGCTATTTATTTCAGCAGTATATCAGTAAGAAAGAATGCGTTTTGTGATAACAGGTATGGTGTGAATGATGGGTTAGACTGATCATAATTAAAAATTCAGCCTTAGCAATAACTTCTTTGCCCGACAGTAAGTACACAGAGAGGGTGGCAATACCGAGGTACCCATAAAACTCAAAGGCGAGGCAAATGCCGTTGATCAAGGAGGCTGCCTGTAAAAACCTATACATTGAGCAAAGAAGGATTTGATGAGTATGTTCCTAAATTGATATTATAGTGGGAGTTCTAAACCCTATCTAATGGCCGGTGTGTTTGGTTTGGTTTTTACTTACACCCAAGACCCAAGCCCAATAGCCCCAACAAAATACCTAAAAACATACACATTGAGCAAAGAAGGATTTTATAAGTATGTTCCTACATTGGTGATATAGTGGGAGTTCAAAACACTATATCTAAAGGCCGGTGTGTTTGGTTTGGTTTTTACTTACACCCAGCCCCGATAACCCCAATAAACTAAATAAATGGAAGTAAATAAAATAAACAAAGGAAAATATACGCAAGATCAACAAAAGCTTAACATAAACAAAGCAATTTGTGAAGCAAAGAATGCAAATTATACGTGTATGATATCAGATATCGTCAATGCAGGGTTCCCTATGTGTGTAGCTACACATGCACGTTGACATCCACGGGGTGTTTTACCGACACACGTCTCGCCTATGCACGACTTTTCACATAGGGCGGCAAGAGTTGTGCACCCTTGGTAGTGAGAGGCGTGTGAGTTTTGATTCCCCAATCCCTGCAACGCGGCTGTTATGTGTCGAAGTATAGGTACGGAAATAATTTCTAATACATGTACAGTACGGCTGCATGACTTAGCTAGAACTGGAAACATAAAATAGCTGACTGATGCCATGCCATGTGTGTTTTGAAAGCATGGAAACAGCGTGGGCTTGCTGTCACAGCTTTGGAAGTCATTTTATTTCAGCAAACCAGTGAATCCTATAACAGGCGTTCAATACGATGTACCTTTTCCTTATTATCTACTCTGCACAGGCAAAGGGTTGTGCGCCGAGACTTGATGCAAACAACATTGTGATGTGATATATGTACCCTTTAATATACGAAAGTAAGATCGTAAATAACACGTTTGATGGTCGGTGCACACAGACACTTTTGTGTGGCGAATGAAACATACATGCCTTCAGAGTAGATGATGAGTAGTCGGGTGAACTGACAAGTGAAAATGGTCACAAGCATAACTGAAAAGTCCTACGTAGGTAAGTGTGTAAGAACAAATCGTTCACAACTATATCCAGGCATGCAGGAGTGGGCCCATTCGAAAAGAAATATAATGTATCGTCACTTTCCGATGTCAATGAGACACATGTACCTTTGGGTGGAAATTCAACCAAATATAAAAAAGCTAAAAAATTAAAAATAAAAATGGAAATGTCTACTGCACCCGGTGTTCCCAGGCGGTCACCCATCCAAGTACTATCCGGGCCCGACGTTGCTTAACTTCGGTGATCGGACGAGAACCGGTGTTTTCAACGTGGTATGGCCGTAGACAAATGTCGGCGGCAAACTTTACCTACATATACACACAGGGTAATGGGGGAAGGGAAACTGCGATGAAACAGCATTCTCGCGTTTTCAGTGGGTGTACACAATGATGTGTTTCTTGATTTGGCTATATCTTTACACGAATGAAGTCTGGCACTTGTGATACACGTCAACACTGTTTCTATGCGCATCTGCCACGAGAAAGGACACACTCGTTCGCCCACACTCGCCTCAAACATTCAGTTTTCGTCCCCCCAATAAAAACCATGCATGTAGTAGCCTATATGTTGTTTTTCGAATAAAATTAACATCAAAACGAGGAAGGCCCATACTGTCGTGATGCCAAGAAAGTCGGGTTAATCGTGGCAGGCAAAAATATTTAATCTGTGACGATCGCGACTGCTGGTATCTGAACCTATGTACTACATTTTACTCTACACATGGGCGTTCGCGACCCGCTTGTGTCCCGGGATTCGCGTCTTAGCACACTGTTCCCTTGAGAGAAACATCCAAGTTACTTAGTACTTATGGACACAAAGCAAATTTCAACTGAAAATGTAGTGCCCCAAATCATGTGTTCAGTAATAGTGTCAAATGTTTTCTGTCGCAAAATGGCGAACTTGCCAGAGAAACGTGCTTCATTGCCTTTGTTTGGGCGCTTGTTTTAGCTTATCAGAGGCAGTAACGAGGGGTGTTGTGGTTTACTTTCATAGTTAGATATCTTGAGAAACGACATGTAACATTTGAAACGATTGAATTTGTGTCTAAAGGCTCGAAATGTGCTTTTGAAACAAACGATGTCTGCATTTTAGACGCGATGGCTTCATTGAAAATAGCCCGTGTGGCTTCAACATTCACCTGTGGTTGTTGTTATTGTAACAGACATGTAGCCAAATGGTTTTGCATCCAATCATGTACTTACATTGGAAACTTTCCCCGATTAAGATGTGATTATTCAGATACAAATGCACGAGAAAGCACACGCGCTCCCGAGCTTGCAACTATCAGCCACAACAAGCAGGGTGTCTCCTCCGACGTCCGCGCCTCAGTAGTATCACCCGGGCTGGCTGTCGGGGAGAGGCATTCGCTCTCTGTGCTTCGTTTGTAGCTGACGTGACTTTCTACACTCAAACCTACCATTATGGCTGATGTTGCTGCTGCCCCGCTGCTGTCAAGACTCCCAAGAAGAAGGCTGCTGCCAAATGAAGAAGGTTGCTGCACATCCTACTTATTTGGAGATGATCAAGAAAGCTATTTCATCCTTGAAGGAAAGGGTGGTTCTTCCCGACAGGCTGTTCTGAAATACATCCTGGCCAACTACAAAGTTGGTGACAACCAGGTCGCCATCAATGCTCGCATCAAGACTGCTTTGAAAAATGGAGTCAATAACGGCGCACTGAAGCAATCAAAGGGAACTGGAGCTGCTGGGTCCTTCCGTCTTGGCGAGGTAAAGAAAGCTGAAAAACCCAAGAAGGCTAAGCCAGCTGCCAAGCCAAAGAAGGCTGCCAAATCTCCCAAGAAAGTCAAGAAGCCAGCTGCTGCCAAGAAACCTAAGACAGCCGCTAAGAAGGCCGCCAAGTCACCAAAGAAGGTGAAGGCTGCAGCCAAGCCAAAGAAGGCAAAGACCCCTAAGAAGGCGGCGGCCAAACCCAAGAAGGTCAAGACCCCCAAAAGAAGGCAACCAAGCCAAAGAAGGCATAAGCTCTCTTTGTCTCGCCTTCGCTCCCACATTTCTGTGGTCCAAAGGCCCTTTTCAGGGCCATCCAAATACCCCAAAAGAAAACTTGAAAACAGTGATAACAAAATAATGCTATTTATTTCAGCAGTATATCAGTAAGAAAGAATGCGTTTTTGTGATAACAGGTATGGTGTGAATGATGGGTTAGACTGATCATAATTAAAAATTCAGCCTTAGCAATAACTTCTTTGCCCGACAGTAAGTACACAGAGAGGGTGGCAATACCGAGGTACCCATAAAACTCAAAGGCGAGGCAAATGCCGTTGATCAAGGAGGCTGCCTGTAAAAACCTATACATTGAGCAAAGAAGGATTTGATGAGTATGTTCCTAAATTGATATTATAGTGGGAGTTCTAAACCCTATCTAATGGCCGGTGTGTTTGGTTTGGTTTTTACTTACACCCAAGACCCAAGCCCAATAGCCCCAACAAAATACCTAAAAACATACACATTGAGCAAAGAAGGATTTTATAAGTATGTTCCTACATTGGTGATATAGTGGGAGTTCAAAACACTATATCTAAAGGCCGGTGTGTTTGGTTTGGTTTTTACTTACACCCAGCCCCGATAACCCCAATAAACTAAATAAATGGAAGTAAATAAAATAAACAAAGGAAAATATACGCAAGATCAACAAAAGCTTAACATAAACAAAGCAATTTGTGAAGCAAAGAATGCAAATTATACGTGTATGATATCAGATATCGTCAATGCAGGGTTCCCTATGTGTGTAGCTACACATGCACGTTGACATCCACGGGGTGTTTTACCGACACACGTCTCGCCTATGCACGACTTTTCACATAGGGCGGCAAGAGTTGTGCACCCTTGGTAGTGAGAGGCGTGTGAGTTTTGGATTCCCCAATCCATGCAACGCGACTGTTATGTGTCGAAGTATAGGTACGGAAATAATTTCTAATACATGTACAGTACGGCTGCATGACTTAGCTAGAACTGGAAACATAAAATAGCTGACTGATGCCATGCCATGTGTGTTTTGAAAGCATGGAAACAGCGTGGGCTTGCTGTCACAGCTTTGGAAGTCATTTTATTTCAGCAAACCAGTGAATCCTATAACAGGCGTTCAATACGATGTACCTTTTTCTTATTATCTACTCTGCACAGGCAAAGGGTTTTGCGCCGAGACTTGATGCAAACAACATTGTGATGTGATATATGTACCCTTTAATATACGAAAGTAAGATCGTAAATAACACGTTTGATGGTCGGTGCACACAGACACTTTTATGTGGCGAATGAAACATACATGCCTTCAGAGTAGATGATGAGTAGTCGGGTGAACTGACAAGTGAAAATGGTCACAAGCATAACTGAAAAGTCCTACGTAGGTAAGTGTGTAAGAACAAATCGTTCACAACTATATCCAGGCATGCAGGAGTGGGCCAATTCGAAAAGAAATATAATGTATCGTCACTTTCCGATGTCAATGAGACACATGTACCTTTGGGTGGAAATTCAACCAAATATAAAAAAGCTAAAAAATAAAAAATAAAAATGGAAATGTCTACTGCACCCGGTGTTCCCAGGCGGTCACCCATCCAAGTACTATCCGGGCCCGACGTTGCTTAACTTCGGTGATCGGACGAGAACCGGTGTTTTCAACGTGGTATGGCCGTAGACAAATGTCAGCTGCAAACTTTACCTACATATACACACAGGGTAATGGGGGAAGGGAAACTGCGATGAAACAGCATTCTCGCGTTTTCAGTGGGTGTACACAATGATGTGTTTCTTGATTTGGCTATATCTTTACACGAATGAAGTCTGGCACTTGTGATACACGTCAGCACTGTTTCTATGCGCATCTGCCACGAGAAAGGACACACTCGTTCGCCCACACTCGCCTCAAACATTCAGTTTTCGTCCCCCCAATAAAAACCATGCATGTAGTAGCCTATATGTTGTTTTTCGAATAAAATTAACATCAAAACGAGGAAGGCCCATACTGTCGTGATGCCAAGAGAGTCGGGTTAATCGTGGCAGGCAAAAATATTTAATCTGTGACGATCGCGACTGCTGGTATCTGAACCCATCTACTACATTTTACTCTACACATGGGCGTTCGCGACCCGCTTGTGACCCGGGGATTCGCGTCTTAGCACACTGTTCCCTTGAGAGAAACATCCAAGTTACTTAGTACTTATGGGACAAAGCAAATTTCAACTGAAAATGTTGTGCCCCAAATCATGTGTTCAGTAATAGTGTCAAATGTTTTCTGTCGCAAAATGGCGAACTTGCCAGAGAAACGTGCTTCATTGCCTTTGTTTGGGCGCTTGTTTTAGCTTATCAGAGGCAGTAACGAGGGGTGTTGTGGTCTACTTTCATAGTTAGATATCTTGAGAAACGACATGTAACATTTGAAACGATTGAATTTGTGTCTAAAGGCTCGAAATGTGCTTTTGAAACAAACGATGTCTGCATTTTAGACGCGATGGCTTCATTGAAAATAGCCCGTGTGGCTTCAACATTCACCTGTGGTTGTTGTTATTGTAACAGACATGTAGCCAAATGGTTTTTGCATCCAATCATGTACTTACATTGGAAACTTTCCCCGATTAAGATGTGATTATTCAGATACAAATGCACGAGAAAGCACACGCGCTCCCGAGCTTGCAACTATCAGCCACAACAAGCAGGGTGTCTCCTCCGACGTCCGCGCCTCAGTAGTATCACCCGGGCTGGCTGTCGGGGAGAGGCATTCGCTCTCTGTGCTTCGTTTGTAGCTGACATGACTTTCTACACTCAAACCTACCATTATGGCTGATGTTGCTGCTGCCCCCGCTGCTGTCAAGACTCCCAAGAAGAAGGCTGCTGCCAAGCCGAAGAAGGTTGCTGCACATCCTACTTATTTGGAGATGATCAAGAAAGCTATTTCATCCTTGAAGGAAAGGGGTGGTTCTTCCCGACAGGCTGTTCTGAAATACATCCTGGCCAACTACAAAGTTGGTGACAACCAGGTCGCCATCAATGCTCGCATCAAGACTGCTTTGAAAAATGGAGTCAATAACGGCGCACTGAAGCAATCAAAGGGAACTGGAGCTGCTGGGTCCTTCCGTCTTGGCGAGGTAAAGAAAGCTGAAAACCCAAGAAGGCTAAGCCAGCTGCCAAGCCAAAGAAGGCTGCCAAATCTCCCAAGAAAGTCAAGAAGCCAGCTGCTGCCAAGAAACCTAAGACAGCCGCTAAGAAGGCCGCCAAGTCACCAAAGAAGGTGAAGGCTGCAGCCAAGCCAAAGAAGGCAAAGACCCTAAGAAGGCGGCGGCCAAACCCAAGAAGGTCAAGACCCCCAAAAGAAGGCAACCAAGCCAAAGAAGGCATAAGCTCTCTTTGTCTCGCCTTCGCTCCCACATTTCTGTGGTCCAAAGGCCCTTTCAGGGCCATCCAAATACCCCAAAAGAAAACTTGAAAACAGTGATAACAAAATAATGCTATTTATTTCAGCAGTATATCAGTAAGAAAGAATGCGTTTTGTGATAACAGGTATGGTGTGAATGATGGGTTAGACTGATCATAATTAAAAATTCAGCCTTAGCAATAACTTCTTTGCCCGACAGTAAGTACACAGAGAGGGTGGCAATACCGAGGTACCCATCAAACTCAAAGGCGAGGCAAATGCCGTTGATCAAGGAGGCTGCCTGTAAAAACCTATACATTGAGCAAAGAAGGATTTGATGAGTATGTTCCTAAATTGATATTATAGTGGGAGTTCTAAACCCTATCTAATGGCCGGTGTGTTTGGTTTGGTTTTTACTTACACCCAAGACCCAAGCCCAATAGCCCCAACAAAATACCTAAAAACATACACATTGAGCAAAGAAGGATTTTATAAGTATGTTCCTACATTGGTGATATAGTGGGAGTTCAAAACACTATATCTAAAAGCCGGTGTGTTTGGTTTTGTTTTTACTTACACCCAGCCCCGATAACCCCAATAAACTAAATAAATGGAAGTAAATAAAATAAACAAAGGAAAATATACGCAAGATCAACAAAAGCTTAACATAAACAAAGCAATTTGTGAAGCAAAGAATGCAAAATATACGTGTATGATATCAGATATCGTCAATGCAGGGTTCCCTATGTGTGTAGCTACACATGCACGTTGACATCCACGGGGTGTTTTACCGACACACGTCTCGCCTATGCACGACTTTTCACATAGGGCGGCAAGAGTTGTGCAACCTTGGTAGTGAGAGGCGTGTGAGTTTTGGATTCCCCAATCCCTGCAACGCGGCTCTTATGTGTCGAAGTATAGGTACGGAAATAATTTCTAATACATGTACAGTACGGCTGCATGACTTAGCTAGAACTGGAAACATAAAATAGCTGACTGATGCCATGCCATGTGTGTTTTGAAAGCATGGAAACAGCGTGGGCTTGCTGTCACAGCTTTGGAAGTCATTTTATTTCAGCAAACCAGTGAATCCTATAACAGGCGTTCAATACGATGTACCTTTTCCTTATTATCTACTCTGCACAGGCAAAGGGTTTTGCGCCGAGACTTGATGCAAAGCACATTGTGATGTGATATATGTACCCTTTAATATACGAAAGTAAGATCGTAAATAACACGTAGGGCTTCCACGGGTACTCGAGTACTCGAGGACGAGTCGGGTTTAGCTGGACTCGAGTCCATATTCTAGGACTCGAGGACTCGAAAAGGGGAGATAACTCGAATTATTGGGTTACGTTGACAGACTGTCTGCCATGTGCTGAGCATGAGCGGCCGTTAACGTCTAATATTAAGATAAGATATAACTTTATTATCCCGGAGGAAATTTTTATACATCCAAACTGTCTCAAAATGAATATGTACACAATTCACAAAAATATACACAATAATTATATGCACAAAACGAAACCTATTTACACAATAAAACTGACATGATATAATTCAATTAACCACATAGGTAAAGAGGCTGAATAAAATTCTTGTTGTTATCAC